CATGGCAAAATTTGTGTGGAGATATGGGTAGATCGGACAGCACAGACGTGACGAATAATTTGCAAACTGTGTAGCGAAAAGACGAGCTAGTTATGTTGCATGCAAGGCACACTGCAGCCAGAAAGCGGCACGCACAAGATCTGTACACAACGCGCGTTGCCACCGCTGCAACGTGCGACAGGCAAATTGCAGCAGCAATGACAAGTAGCAGTTGAGATATGGCAGATCCAGTGTTGGCAGCGGCGACAATAGCAGTTTTTTTCGAAGCGTCCGGAATGTTTCATCAAACCCCAAGTTGCAACGGTCTTTGAGTGCTGAACATTTGGCATTGAAAGCAGGCACGCGATGATGAGAGTGAAGCGCCTGGGACGTGTGGCTGCGGTCCTTCTGTGCCGCTGCCGTATTTTTCATGTTGTGGAATCTGATTCGGAGAACATTTCGGTGCCTATTTAGCTTGAGAAGAACGTTCTTTGCTCAGGAAAGTTGCGGTTACTTCGACTTTGTGTTAGCAAGCATTACGATTAATCTAACTTGAACTGTCGCCAGTTAACTTCAGCGGGTAATATGAGGCTTGGCTCGACTTCTTCAGCAGCGAAGTACCCACTTCTATTTGTTGTATATGTTTTTGTCGTCACTTTGAGGCCAAATATGAAAGGCGTCAGCCCACGTCCCGCTACCATCGCGGTTGAGAATAGCTCCAACTCGGCGATGGCTAGCGCACTTTTGTTCTGCGTCGTAAACACCACTTCGATCGTGCATAATTGTTTGCGCCTCGTTGGTGCTGGCTAAATGGCCTCATGTACTTTGACTAATTCGTGCGTTTTGGAGCCAAGGTCATTAGTGCTACACAGTGCAGCCTAGAAATGCTGCCAAGAAACACAAAATACAGGAAATACAAGACCAGCGCAATACAGAATACAGCCAGCAACACTTGACATTCATTCTTCTTTCTACTGAACTTCACTGCCAAGGCAGTCGTGCGTTTTACACCGTGGAGGGTAAAACGTCCGGGGTCCGGGTCCGAAGGGTAACACACGGGCAAGATTGACTGCACTGTCGCCGTCGGCAGCAGCGGTGCGCAAGCGTTCATGACTAATGACCCCAGCATGCGTCTTTTCACTGAGCGATCAGGGCCGATCAACCCAGCAGCGGCAGAGGGTCTGGCCTTTAGTGGTAGACGTGAATGGTCGCGCAGCCAGGGAGAGGGAGGTGACAGCTCATGCCTGAAGGTCTCTGGTTCGGTCTGACCCGGCGTTGGACTGGGATATGGCTGGTGCGGCGGCTAACCGACGTTCGTCCGGTTCACTGCCCAAAAGCACTTCACACACCTGTGCATACAACTCACACAATACGAACAAGGCGGCGAAATAAATGTTGCGGACGGCTGCCTCTAGCTGTGCTGTTAACAGACGCCGCTGCTGGCAAACAAGAATACTACTCAATTGATGCAAAGCTTTTGTTTTAGACCATTCAATCATTAAACAGGTCACATAGATAAGGCAATAGTGTTAGCCTTATCCCTCGGAGAAAAACAAGGAGAATGGAGATATAGTTGTGTTGATATTTCGGCAACATGCCTGTAACGAAACAGTAGCTGAAGGGAATTATTATGAATACGAATTCACTTCACCTCTTGTTACGATAAAGGCGTGCTGCCAAAATATCAACCCAACTATGTCTCCATTCTCTTGGTTTGTCTCCGATGAATAAGGCTAATACTGCTGTCTTATCTCTGTGAATAATGCTCCTCGCTAATGTACTGAACAACTTGCGTAGTTTTAAACAGGCCACCATTAAAAAAGAGATTGATAGTTTTTCAATGGAAACTAGGCTAGTTCCAGGAACAGGTATATCAAGATGTTGGAGTTCAATGACAACAGTATGAATCTGAAATGGCTTCATCCATGCGAAAAAACGTTCCGAGACATGCGCTGTGATGGCACCGCGCACCGCCCTCCACCAATGCGCACCGCCCTCCACCACCGCGCACCGCCCACCGATGGCACTGTCCTCTCCAGGATCAGTCCGTGCAATAATCTCCATTTCTGAGCTGACAGCACAAATGCATCATTCATACAAATGAACCTACGATTATTGGGGTACGACATTGCTATCAGCGATATTACGACATTAGACTGCTGGGTGCGTAAAACACCTAGCTTATTCTTAAAGAGAATGCTTCAACATTTATGTGGAGTTTTTGAACACAAATAGACATCCCGAAGACCTTTCGGTGCTGTTCACAATGCTGTCCTTCCTAAAACCTAAGCCCATCTAGTTTCTAAGCTACACGCCCGCGAAAATAAGAATGGCTTGTCGGGGAGAGCATTTCAAAGTCACCTTGGCATCCATGATTTCATGGCAAAGTCATTCAAATCCCGCCATTACACAAGCCATGCGGCGATCAATGCCAGACAATCTAATTGGCGAGGCGTTCATATCTGGCGTTCGTGAGCGCGATTTCCAGATAAAGCGGTGACCAAGTGGCTCTCAATCAATGTTGTGCAATGTATGATGACGTACTCAAACCATGACGCATCGAGGAGGATACTTATTCAACAGAACATTGTGCTGCTTAGAGCAGTCTTTTCCACTTAAAAGGCATACCAAAAATTAAGAGTGAGCTTACTTCTCCGTACATCAGTCTTGCTTCATTTTCTTTAAATGTGGAACATTGTCTTTAGATTTATTGTGGGAACTAAAGTGGATTGTGCTGCACTATTGGGGTGCTGGCCTGCTGAGATGTCCACCTTTCTTGACAGCGCTTGAAAACAGACTGCGTTCCATCGTGATTGTTTACCTAGTTAGATAATTTCATAAACAATGGCGTAGCCCCAAAAGTGGTCTGACTTATATGCATAACACATCTTTCCATTTCAGCTATGAAAGCTGTACATCCCTTTTACTGTGACGTTCATCCGCTGTGCAACTGAATACTGTTTCTTCTTCCAGCTATTCCCGAAAATCCAGGTCATCTTCGTTTGGAAACCAATAAGAATGTCACTTTCGTATCTGCAAAATAGGCACAGTTTGATATTTGGCAAAAGCCCTACTCTCCACATGATATTTTTCAGCGAACAACACGCCTAACGGAAACCTCAAAGCAACACCGGCAACCTGTTTAACGTGTCGCTTTTTGGACATGGGCATGACATGGACATGGCGTGGACATAGCGGCCTCGTCAATACATAAACGCAACATTTTCTCAAGAATGGGACGGTTGACGCAGGGAGCTGGATGAGGCAAGTGGTGTTAGACAACGCCCAGCATATCGACGGCAGCGTCAACAGTGACGTCATTGAACAAAGATATTATGCCCGGACAACCCAGCCCGCCTCACATCAAATGTGTATGCATTATATATATATATATATATATATATATATATATATATATATATATATATATATGGGGGTGCGTGCGTACGTGTGTGCGTGCGCACGTGCGTACGTGCCAACCAACCAGTTATCAGCGCAAAAGCTTACGCTGTCAATTCTGCGGAAGCGTGCACCACAATTCATTGTCCAGATAAGCCCGAGTGTGACGCGTCCCAGACCACCCGGCGTCCCAGCCTGGAGAGCGCCTCGTCAGTCACGCCAGGCCAGTCATGTGCGTTGATAACCGGACTGTATGGCGCAGCGGTGATCGCCAGCACGCGCGCCGGTCACGCCGAGCACGGCGCTCGTGGCCAAAACGCACGTGACACCATCTCTGGCGCCATC